CCCCAAGTCCACTCCACTGTGCAGCCTTCATTCTGGACTCCTGTCATGACAATAATACCTAATCATATATGCCTTTTAAATAGATCTCTCCCTCATCTGTTTCAATGCAGTATACATTCTTTATCCCCTCTTTCTCAGTCTCCCCTAAAACCTGATGTCAGTCCCGTTTTACAACAGTGGCATTATGCAATATTTGTCTTTTTATGACTGAGATATTTCACTCAGCATAATGTCCTTCAGAGTCACCCATTTTGCATAATATTTAATGAGTTCCTTGTTTTTCAGTGCCGCATAGTATTCCATTATATTACAGAGCTTCTCCATTCATTTTTTGATGGGTGTTGTTGACTGTCTTAATGAACTTTGCTGTTGTCACTGGCATGAGGTGATACCTCATTATTGTTTTGATTTGCATCTCTCTAATAGTTAATGATAATAGGGGACTCTGGTGGCCTAGTAGTAAGAATCTACACTACAATCCCAAAGGTATGCAGTTCAAATACATTAAATGCTGTGCGGGAGAAGATGGACAGTCTCCTCCTATGTGATTAACTGCATCTAAAAACCGGCTGGAGGGTCAGCTATAGGTTGGTTCCGACTCAATGGTATATAACAATAGTTAATGATTGAGAGCATTTCTTCATGTGTTTATTGGCCACGTGAATGTCATCCTTGGTAAAATATCTTTTCATGTCTTCTCCTCTATATTTTATTGGGTTATTTGTCTTTTGTTGTGAGATATTGGAGTTTTCTACAAATTATAATGATTAGTACCTTGATAGATATGTCATTGTAAAATATTTTTTCAACTCTTTCGGTACTCTTTTTACCTTTTTTGGGGGGGAGAAGTCTTGATCACCATAAGTATTTACTTTTTAAAAGGACTTGATCTTCTGGTTCCTTTCCTGCCTTTTGTGGATCTGGGGTTATGACTTTTGCCTTTATATTTATACCTTGACTTTGTGTATATCCTTTCTACTATGTTGAGAAAATGACCCTCTACTACTATTTTGTTAAATGTTTTACTGCTGGGAATATAAAATAGTAGAACCACTGTGAAAAAGAGTGTGGCAATTGTTCAAAAAAACCAAATATTACTCAGCAATTTCATTCCTACGCATATACCTAAAAAATTTAAATGTAGAGGTAAAAATAAACTTGTAAATTATATTCCTTGTACCACCATTTGCCACAAACCAAAATGTAGAAACATCTAAAATGTCCATCACCAGATGAAGGATAAACACTATATAGTATATAGATATAAATACTACTTAGCCAGTACAAGAAATGGAGTTTTAATACATGCTACAGTGTGGACAGAGCTTGAACACATAATGCTAAGTTAAAAGTCAAGTCACAGAGAGACATAGAACTTCAGTTAGGAACTCTGGTGGCCTAGTGGCAAGAAGCTGCATTGCAATCCCAAAGTCACGCAATTCAAATCCACCAGTTGCTTTGCAAAGGATGGCCAGTCTCTTCCCATGCAATAAACTGCTTCTGAAAACTCGCTGGAGGGTCAGCTAAAAGTCAGTTCTGACTCGATGGTACATAACAACAACAGTTATATAAACTGACAGGAAACAAATGTATAAAAATGACAGCCCTCAAGGTATTTCCAACTCCTAGTCCTCCACCGGGTTTCCAGGGCTCTAGATCTTTATGAAAGGAGTCTACCCTGGTGGATTTGAACTGTAGACTTTTCAGTTAGCTACCTGATGTGTTACACACAATAGGTGGCCAAGGCTCGTTCAAATATGTTGTTGTTGTTGTTGTTAGATGCTATCGAGCGGAGTGCAACTTATAGCAACCCTACAAACAGCCAATCCTGTACCATCTTCAGCATTTCTGAGACAGTAGAGCCTGTTGCTGAAATCACAGTGTCAGTCCATTTTGTTAGGAGTCTTCCTGTCCTTAGTAACCAGTTTTAATGGCACGAAGTATAGGGTTAACAGTGATGGAAGATTCTCATTAAGATAGCTGTAACCACCACAAAAAGAAGGACAGAAAAATGGAAGAGGAGTGAGAAGACAAACCATTTCTTATCACATTAACTCCACATAAAAGGAGCCCCATAGGTGTCAAACAAACAATCAGGCTGTTCTTTATAGGATTTTGTTAGTTGAATTTACATAAATAGATACCACTAGGCCTTTCTTCCAAGGTTTCTCTGGTAACTCAAGCTGCCAACAACAGAAGGTTAAAAAGAAAGAAATGAAAAATAGAAGAATGCAGTTAAATACAAATGATGACCATCATGGGGGAAATGAGAGAGGGGCAGAAAACTCCCAAAAAATAATTAGCAAAATGACAGAAGTTAATTTAGTTAAAGGTGGTAAACAAAAGACAAATAATAGAATGGATTAAAAAAAGAAAACATGGTATATCTGTACACTGTCTTTATGAAAACACATCTTGGGCTTAAAGATGTAAAGGGAAGAGAGTTCTAATGGCCTAGTGTGTAAGTAGTTGCACTGCCAACACAAAAGCAGGCACTTCGAATCCACCAGCTGTTTCATGGAACAAAGATGGACAGTTTCCTCCCATACCATTTATAACCTCTGTAAACTTGCTGGAAAGTCTACTATGAGTTGGTTCCAACTTGATGGCAAAAAAACACAGCAGCAGAAGTGAAAGACTAGAAAAATAATCATCCATACAAAGAATAATCAATAGTATTTAGTTGGTATTGCTAACAGACAGAAGAGATTTTACTTGAACATTTGTTATGAGATGAAGGGCATTTGTATAATGACAAAAAGTTAATTCATCAAGAAAATAAAACATTTATGAATATATATTCACTTAACATAAGAACCTTAAAATACCTGATAGAAAAACTGAGAAAATGAAAGGAAGTGGTAGTAGTAGTATAGTACTACTTAGCTATCTCAGTACCTCACTTTCAGTATTAGACAGAATGTCTAGAAAGAAAAATTATAAGGAATCAAGAGTGGAAAGGATACTATAAACCAAAAAGAGCTAGCAGAAATACAGCAGTCCACTCAACAACAGAGTAATACATGTTTTTTGGGATGCACATGGTTTATTCTTCAGGTAGACCGTCTGCTCATTTATGAAACAGTTCTTCCAGACATTTATAGAAGACATACTATCGATCATTACTAAATTCATTCAAAAACAGAAGAGGAGAGAATGTCTGAGTAAGATGGTGGAAGGGACAAAAGGTCAGATTCTCTTCAGTGAAGACATCAGAAACATAGATAGCAGATACAAATGATAGTTCAGGAACTTTTGAGTTTAAAAAGAAAAGACAAAGTACTTCAAGCACTGACTGGAGGAAGAAACTGAATGAAAGCATTGAATAAGGAGACAGATGAAATAGAGACCTTATGTAGTACTGGGTGGCCATTTTGAACAGTTGTCTGGTCAGCACCGGAACCTAGGACCATAACAGTAAGCACGCCAGCAATGAGCAGACAAAAGTACGACCAATCCCCTTGTCACTGCACCCTCCTGGAGTGAAGCGGTGGGAGTTTTCACCACCATCACCACCAAGTGGCTGGCCTCATACCTGTAGTCCCTTCAACTTCCACCTGAAGCCAGAACTGTGCCATTTTGTATCCGACACCAGAAGCTGGTACTCAGCTTTATATCCCAAGATCCCCTGCAAGAGTTGGAGGACTGCATACCGGGCCTGCATTCAGCCCTGTGTAGGAGGACACCATCGCTGAGTGGGATTGCCCTTCACTGGGCACCTTGTCTAGCCTGTGTCATGGTCACATTTGGGCCAATTCAGTTCAACAGTGGTTACCAGTGACTGGTGGAAGGAATGGTGGATTAGAGAAAGGGAGTTCTTCTTTAAGGGGCACTCTGGGGGCCTTTCTGTTGTTTAGTTAGGGAGGTCAAGTGGCTGAGTCTGTAGAAAGATGTTCTCCTAACCCAAAAGCAGTGCTTCCTGGCCATGCAAATGCACCGGGAGCTCTTCAGAAGAAAGATGAGCAATCTCCACTCGTGTGATTTACAGCATCCTAAACTACTTGGACCAGGAGGCAGTCATCGGAACAGAGCAAAGATATAATGCATGGTTCAAAATTTGGAAGGGTGTACTCCAGGAAGGTGTCCTGTCTCCATATCTTTTCAATCTATATGCAGAACAGATCACTCATGAGGTTGGGCTCTCTGAGGAAAAATTGGGCATCAGGATTGGAGAAAGACTCATCAACAATCTGCATTATACAGATGACACAAACCTGCTTGCTGACTGAGGAGGACCTGGAGCTCTTGCTGCAGAAGGTCAAGGACTGCAGCCTTCAACATGGATTGAAGCTCAACATCAAGAAAATAAATATTCTCACCACTGGGCCAATTGGCAGCATTACTATAGATGGTGAAGAAATTGAGATTGTTAACAGCTTTAGTTTGCTTGGTTCCACAATCAGCACTCTTGGTACCAGCAGCCAGGAAATCAAGAGACTAATTGCACTGGGAAAGTCTGCTGTCAGGGACCTCCCAGAGTACTGAAGAGCAGTGATGTCATTCTGGAGACTAAGGTATAATCAGGCCATGATCTTTGCATTTACTTGCTATGCATCAGAAAGCTGGACAATGACTCGGGATGATAAAGGGAGAATTGATGCCTTGAGGTGTGGTGTGGGAGAAGAGTATTGAATATACTATGGACTACCAGGAGAACAAACAGGTTTGTCTTAGAGAAGGTGAAACCAGGCTCTACCTTGGAGGAAAAGATTCTGAAGCTTCATCTGACATATTTTGGGCATATTGCAAGGAAGAACCAGTCCTTGGAGAGGGACATCATGTTTGGGAGAGCAGAGGGACAGCACAAGAGAGGAACATCCTCAATAAGATAGATTGACTCAGTGACTAGGGCAATGGTAGTTAGTTTATAAGAGACAATAAGGTTGGCTCAGGATAGTGCAGGGTTCAGAGCTGTTGTGCATATGACTCAATAGCACATAACACCACCAACCACCAAACCTAATAGAGGGTCAACTTTGAGTCAGTTCCACAATAAGAATAAGTAAGTAGCTTCTATTAATGTTGATTTAAAATTTTAGAAACAGATCATTAGATAGTTGCAGAACATGATTAATATCATAGAATTGTACAAATAAAAGTGATTTTATAGCAAAAATTTTGTTCTGTTCACTTTAATTACAATAGAGGAAAAAGAAAACCATTGTAATACTGTATACAAAATGAAAATCCTTTTTTAATAGTTACTTTTTTATTGCTTTTGAGCTTCTAATTAATTTTAATTTAAATTGTATTGTTTTTCCTCTAGAGCTACAGAGTCTTCTGATGACGTGGAGAGCTTGCGACCCCCTCGTTTCTTCAATGAAGATGGAGTTATCAGACCTTACAGGTTGAGGGACGGTACTGGAAATCAAATGTTACAGGTGAAGACATTTCTTATAAACAAATTTTAATCAGTATTTCTTAATATATATAATTCTTTACAAAAGTAATTATATAACTCTTTACTTAGTTTTATTTATGTTTCTTATATTTCCTCAGGTAATGTATATTTATTTACTATGAGATCTTTTTTTTCTTTTTACAGGCATCAAAAAGTTTGATATGAAAACAATTAATGCATGACTTTGCAAGTGAAAGCCAGCAGTAGATTTTAGTCTTAAAATTTACAAATTACGTGCCACATTTTAAGTATTTTCAAAACAGAAAAACTTTTATGTTGGTAATTTTTATGAAGGTGTTTTTTTTTTTACCGAATCCAGTGTTTAAATAGAGTCCTCTCAGCTCTTTGCTGGTGTGACTGATTAAAAGCCATTTTTGTCTCCCGTACCCTCACTGTTGGTGGTTCTTATTTAGTCAGTTAGAACATTTCCACCTGTTACATTTCCATCTCTGTATCAACTAGCAGATCCTAAAACAGATGAAAGATTCATGCCAAATTAGGGAAGCATGAGGAGTTCCCCTCCCTGTCCAAACAGTGGAGACTGCTGCTTCTGTAAACTCATGGAGTTCTTCTAGTTTTAGATATTTTTAAAATTTCTTCAGTGGATTACCCTCTTCTTTATGATGTTGCCTGTGTAGAGTATCTTGTGGAATTTTATTAGTAATTCACACTTAAACCAAGATCTTTTAAGAAAATTCAACATTTTTAATAATAATTCAAAGGTACAGAATATTTTTTGCATATTCAGTCATCTTTCATACTTAGCAAGTAGAATTTTAAAAAATTAGAATATGGTGTAGATAACTAGGCTAGACCAATTTGAAGTGATTTTTTTGTATGTTAGGTGTAGTAATAAATTATGAAACCGTTTGTTTGGAAACAAGCTCATTATGTTCCACTTGAAAATAGTCATAGTTTATAACACTCTGCAGATGTGCTCCTTTCTTTATTGTTTTGCTAACCTAAGATACTTTCATGTTAAAATGATCAGGATGAAGATTAAAAACCTCAGCTTTCAGCCACTACTTAGACATTTTTTATATTCAAAGTAAATCGAACTTCTACATCACCTGAGTCTTACATGTATTATAAAAAATGAACCAAAGGGTTAATATGCAATATTTAGTAAAGATATTTTACAGTATGCTTTACGCATTAAACTAATTGTTTATTTGGAAAAACAAGATAGAGGATGTACTCTAAATGACATCATTCTTTGAAAAATGGAATGTAGCAAGATTTATCTATGTAATGCAGTAGAAGCATGTTTTCTTACTGCTTATCTCTCTATCTTCCCTCATTAGTGATTAGCATGTTATTAACATTTAAGTAGACTCAAATAAAAGAGTTTTTAACTCCACTTTTTAAAAATTAACTTGTTCTGATAAAGCTATAGTATTAAATTTAGTAGGAAGTATGGATGAATAGTGAGGTGAGTTTAGAATGTCTTGATTAAGCAACGGATTATAATAAGGAAGCTTTGAAATATGGAAGATTTCTCCTGGGTTGATAACTTCATTTCAGTGACAAAGAAATTTATTGCACATCTTCATTAATTTTCAGAGCTGTTTAACTTGGATAGTTAATTATTATAACTCTTAACTTAGGATTTTAGGATTTTAAATATATATATATATATATATATATAAAGAGAGAGACACACACCCTTACATATGCATCTATTTATATATAAATATATGTAACTTTTGGTAGACTAGTTTTAACATTAATTACCGAAAGAGGTATTTCATTGACTAGATAGGATTTGTGGCAGTCATTGTGTTCAGCAGGAGCGTTGGTACTGTCTTGGTGAGAAAGCCTAAGAATCCACCACATGCTCTTGGCAAGCATTGCTCTATGTGAGAAGTCAGTTTGGTGGTAATGGTGCTTTTTTCCAACAGAAACTTTAATGGTAGGGAACACTTTAAAATACACGAAAATTCTTCTGTGGAAGAATTGAGGCAGAGACTTAAAGTCTCATCTACTCATAGGAAGTATTTAACATTTTCAAATACTCCTTAAAAAAGGTGCTCTATTTTCAGTAAATTATGCATGCCTATATATAATTAAATGTGAAATGAGGGGTTGTTTTTTTTCTGCTGTGAACCTTTCTATTTGGAAAGTAATATATTATTATAGTGCCTTGCCTGTGTCATTGAAGTTTATCTACTAGAGATGCAGAATTATAATCTTAATGTATTCATAAAATACATTATGGATATTATCAAACTCTCTGATGTCTTGAGTTGAGCCAAGTATTTCATCTTAGCCTGTTATGTTATAAAATTTTGGTTTGTTAAGATGAAATATTATATCCATATTATATCCACTAATTGCAGCCCTGTTCATAGCTGTAAATCTGCTTCAAAGTCATTTTGACTCCTTGAACATTTTAAAATTTTACGTGCTTTCTAGGCAATGGCCATACTTTACTAACCTTGTGCTTCTTTTTTCCTTTACCATGCTTGCAGAAAATTCAGGTCTACAGGGAGTGGATTATGACTCACAGTAGCATTAGTGATGATGATGAGGAGGAGGAGGATTAGTCAGATTCTGGACTGTTAAAATTCATATGTTCTTTGTCAATTAATTTGGAATGTTTCATTTGTGTCTTTTGTGTGGCTAGGACCATAATGGTATGTGTTCATTTTTAGGAAGCTAAATAAATAGTCTTTACTTTTAAAATGTTTTCTACACATCTTCAAAAAGATCTAAATAATTGCATTGTTTAAGCACAGAGAAAAATGTATTTTACGTCAAAGTCAGGCATTTGCTTGTGTATATTTTTAGTTTGTTTGTTTTTAAGACTTAAAGATAGACCTTAAATACCTTTTCTTGAATCTTCACTAGTTTTATAGGATTTTAAATTATCTGCCTATTTGTTAGCAAAATGCCTTTTATAAAAAAGTTCTCTATGTAAATTTTCTGGGCTGTGATGCAATAGCATTGTGTAAACAAAAAGAATAGTCAATGTTTTATATTTTGTGGTTTTAGCATGTCTGTATAATTTCTCTTACTAATAAACTTGTCTAATTTGTAACCGTGTTTTGGAAGTATACTGAAGCTTTTTAAAAGTTCCAAAATATATGAAATTATCTTCTTTTTCTAGTCTATTATATGTACTAAAAATGTCCTTTAAAAAATGAATGATTAATTATGTTTTATTCATTGTGACCACTGTGCTTATGGATCAAAACAAAGGAAAATTTACTGCAACTTCGAGTAAGCACTTAATTGAATTTGTATTAGACTGTGGCAAGCACTGGTTTAGATTAAGCACTAGACTGATAAAGAATGGTTGGCAGTTAGAGCCTGCCCAGCAGCTCCTGGCAGACTGTCCTGACAAGAACTATGGGGATTGAGGTCACCTAATATGGAGTATATAATTGGCTTCATCACTGACTATTTGGGTTAATTCAGCCAATGAGGTCTAGTCTCTTTTAGTTCTTAAATTTATCAGGTTTTTAGTTCTATTAACCTCACTCATATTCTATTTTAATTAAGATTTTAAGGAAAGTTTATAGAGAACTTGGATTTCCATTTATTCATTGTTGCATGCTTTCCTCCCTGCCCATCCCTCCTCTTTGAAAACAAAAAAAATTTTCATTTTTGTACAGTTCCCCACCCCACCCACTCATGTTCTTAAAAATCACTATTGTAAGTTTTAAAATACTGAGCTTACAAAGCTAAAACATAGCTTTCTAAAAAAACAAAATTTTTTCTACCTGCATTCCATTCATTTGCTTTAAAAAGAAATCAGAGTACAGTGAGCTAAGAAATATGTTAAAATGCAAGAGTTATTTTGTTAAATAGTATTCTCATCTTTTTTGAATAAGAAAATAAATTTAAAAAATTTTATTGAATAGCCACCGCTAGAGAGCTCATGTGACCTCGTGGCAAGAAGCTGCACTGCAATCCCAAAGGCACACAGTTTGAATGCACCAGCTGCTCCTTGCGAAAGGAATGGGCAGTCTTCTGTGCTATTAACTGCCTGTGAGGGCCAGCTATAAGTCTATTCCAACTCAGTGGCACTCCACCATCACTGTTCACTCACTGACTTTTTTTTTGTTCTGCACCTAATCAAAATCCATTACTTTTTTAGAACACAGCCTGTTGTGGTATCTTGTGTGTGATTGAGGAGGCATGCACTTAGAAATGTATTCTTTGATGTCTTACATTCTAAAGTAGCTTGCTACAAAGTCTTTCTAAAGAGGAACTTCTGTATTACTTACTGCAAGCCATTCACTGAGTTACTAATAGTTGGTCTGTGAAATTTTAATCGTACAATAAAAACATTTGATCTGGAAAATTTCTAGGTAGTAATGACTTGCCATTTTAATGAAAAGAAGAGCTGAGGTAGGTTTACATTAATTCAAATTTCTTTAACATTAAGAGTTTTTAAAAACAATGTTCTAGTAACTTGTAAACATTGCTTCTGTGATCTTAAGGATTCATTATTCTTAACTATTTAGGTTTAGAAACAAATAATGTTTTAAAATAACATAATTTCCCTTTGTTCTTAATTTCTGTTCTCTTGCTAGAGTAGAATAATCTTTTCAGGCTTTACCAATTGCATTGTTTTTTTAAACATACATACACATATATTGTTGTTTTTATTAGAGAAAAATGTAAGCTTAAGGATTTCTCATCTGATATACATCATCAAACATGTAGGAAACGTTAGTACTTTAACACTTACTTCTAATGAAAAGATAATGATTTAAACCCAACAGACAGATGCTCCACAGGAGGAAGATGTGGCTGTCTGCTTCCAGAAGATTTACAGCTTCAGAAACCCTCAAGAGCAATTCTTCTCTTGTCCAGTAGAGTTGTCCATAGTTGAAATCACCTGGATGACAGTGATTTGTTTATACTTAGAGTTTTAAATTTAAATATAAGTCTAATAAAGTCTAGTGAGCAACTTGTGCTTGAAAATTGATTATGTAATACCATAATTGGCACAGTGGACTTGATGGTGGG